GTAGCGGGGGTTCGGTTTTTATATCTTTTCTTCATATATATATGATGTAACACTGCATATAGGGTGATTATGATGGCAGTAAAAAAAAATCCAAAATTTGCACACTGTAAAGTACATATAACTTATACATATCTTTATTTTAATCATGAAGGTGACTGCTACACCATCCCCTGTTGGTGACCAGCGTACAGTTCAGCACCAGATACCAGTTGGCCAGCGCATTCAGACAATAGGACAGCGTGTACAGCCTGTTTCAGGGACTCAGATACGTTCAATCATTCACAATGTGGCTGCACAGCATAGCCAGGCCACGAAAGATCCATCAGCTCATCTGATTCAATCCCAAGCTGCAGTAAGCAAGGTCAGTTTTATGAGCTTACAATTTTTAATCACAAAACAAGCAACAACAACAACAAAAAACTTTTGGCTTTTGAGGCATAAACCTTGCACAGTTATTTTATAAGCACACATTTGCATTGTAGCTTCTAAACAGCATTCAGTTTCAATTGTTGTTTGAGAAATGTACAAGATTTGAGCCTTTCGCTCCTAGAAGGTCCTTTCCCCTCTAGTATTTAGAGGTTTTTGATGACATGACATCTTTGGGTAGTGGCCACTATGCCTATATAACAGTTTTGGTATTGGTTGCAACCACATAGTGTGTAGACATTGTGGATATCATCGCTCTCTTTCTTTGTCTGTCTGTCTGTCTGTCTCTATCTCTCTCTCTCCCCCCTCTCTCTTCCCCCACCCTCTCTCTCTCCCCCTTCTCCCCCTCTCTGTCTCTGTCTGTCTCTCTCTCTCTCTCTCTCTCTCTCTCTCTCTCTCTCTCTCTCTCACACACACACATGCACACTCACACAATAATTTGGAGTAAAAATTCTGTATTTGTCATGAGGACATTACTTTGTTTCACATGGCTGTGTCAACAAAAACACTGTTTTTTTTGTTCAAAGGGATGAAAGCAGTTAATTATTTGCTCTTTTTGTATTTATTAATTACTTTCGTGCATTTAAACAAATTAATGTTTTTGTGAAACTTTTAGAATATGCTTTTTAGTGTCTTGGTGGTCGCAGTGGCAAACTCCTAATTAGTGTCCTTTGCAACATGCATATTATGAAGCCTGGGAACTCACACAGGGAAATCAGTTGTATTTCATACCCACTGTTCGGCCTTGATGACCAATCTTAAATACTTAAGTTTACAAGGCTGGGTCAAATTCTAATGCAGTTTTGGTCCTTTCGATTCTGGAGATGGGAACTCCATATGATCTGTTTTGATAATTAATTGCACTAACAACTGTGCTATGCAAAAGTTAATAAACATGAAGCCTTATGTACTTTAATTAATGTATGCATGTGAGAAGAAAAAAGACTAGCCTATATTGTAATAGCTTTAAGATGTATGCCTACACACCATGAGAAGAAAATAATGTGTACTTTCACTTGTTTTTGTCCACTTATTGGGGGGGGGGGGGGGGGGGTGTCATAATTGTTTTAATAGTTTAGTACAGATTTATATTTTCATCTTTCTGCTTACACATCCAGATAACTTCTTTATACATTTGTTGGCCTGGTTAGCTTTCCTTGGTTAATTTTGTAGGACACTCCCAACCTCAGTTGAGATGTCATCTTTGGCCTTTTATTTAGAGATGGTGTCTCTCAGTAGGCCCCTCAAGAACATGCATGTGTGCTTGTTGACCCTCAAAGAAAAGCAAGGGAGTAAATTGGGCATTTCTCGCCGTCTATTTGGAGGCTTCCATACATTGAGAACCGACACATGATAATTTTAAAATCCCGGGAAGTAAATGTTGCCGGTGTGATGTTGAGCACATTCACCCACTGAGTGCCGATTGATCTTTAAAAATGTCTTCATGCTGAACAGATAGCAGAACATATCTTGCAAAACTGTCCTGTCTTGATGGAGCTGCGGAGCAACATGTGGCAATGCCCAGTAGGCCTGAGAACTAAGCTTTGGAGAAACCTAAGAGACCTTGAGATGACATCCCAGTTTATGGCCCACAGCGGATTAGAGATTGCCGAAGTAGAAGAAGATCTATAAAATATAGGCCTTGCACTATATGCCCTATAAGTGTGAAGGCATGGAAAGGTTTTTCCTTACTTTACCTACTTTACATGATAACCTGGTACGGGGCTCATCTGAGGAATTGGTATGCCCTGCATATGTCTGCTTAGCTACAGTTCTGTATATTGAGCTTCTCATTCATCGCAGGCTGTACCTTTAGAAACTAACCTGGAAACTGTTTGTAAATTTGTTACTTTGATAACCTCTTCACAATAATCAATTTGGTTCCTTACATATTTGTTACCTATAGTATACTGTACTTACCCTTTACCTTTTACTAAAATTTTGTGACATCGTTTCATTAGTGATTCTTTGACAGATACTAATTTTTCCTGTTTTCATCATCTGTACAGGTTGCAACAGATCGGCAAGTGCAGGTTTTAGATGGTCCTCAGAAGATCCTCATACAGAATGTCCCTGCCATGGCTACCAAGGAGACCCTCATCAAAATCTGCAGGCATTTTGGAACAGTTCTGGTGAGACATTTACAGATATGTTGTTCTAGACAGTATAATTATTTCAATCAAATTTTTTAGTATGTTCAGACAAGTGTTTGATGAACATTGTGAAAGCTGGGTTCATAAATAATGCCTTTTAATTTGAGGTGATGGGATTTTAACACATTAGTAGCAGAAGTGTGTGAGGGATTTTAACACATTTGTAGCAGAAGTGTGAGGGATTTTAACACATTTGTAGCAGAAGTGTGTGAGGGATTTTAACACATTAGTAGCAGAAGTGTGTGAGGGATTTTAACACATTAGTAGCAGAAGTGTGTGACTACAGTCTGAGAAAACAGTATTAACATGTGACAGCTGGAAAGGTTTATGGAAAGAGAAAGAGAAAGACAGTGAGCGAAGATTCTTGACTGCCTTTTGTCATGGCACATAAAAGGGTCCGAACAAACAATGAGATCATACAATGCTGAGAAGCCTGACTGTCCAAGCCGATGAAGCACTCGATGATGTTGATGAATATAAAGCTCCCAAGAATCGCACATTTTTTGGGGATCTCACGTTCTCGAAAGAAGCTTCTTTGATGATGTTGATTGAGTATAGAGATGGCCCAATTGAGAAGACCCGCAGATTACCCTACAATCATGTCTTGTTATTTAAAAGATATGATTTGGCAGATCTTTGGATGTTATACCAAACAGGACATATACCAACACAATTGTCCCATAAGAAGTAGAGGGAGAATAATTAATTTGTTCCTGTTGTTTTTGGCATTAATGGGGTTGTATAAAAAAATGTTAACAGGCCAGAAAAGAAAAGGCTTAACCTAGAGTACACATAGTTTACTTACTAACTTGTCTTGTCTTCTTCTTCTTCTTCTTCTTCTTCTTCTTCTTCTTCTTCTTCTTCTTCTTTTTTCTTTGTGTTTACCAGCTGTAAACTCTTGCGGAAAGTTCTGGTTGTTCATCCACCTCTAGACTTTAGTCTTATTTGAAAACCTGAGTGTTGAGTGCACATCCATTTTACAGATCTGACTTATTTGTATGCAGACTGTTGGTTCATTGCCTTTAAGACAGACACACTTTGACTTTGAAAGAAGCCCCCAGTAAGTCTACGCTTCATGCTTGTTGGAGAAGCAGTTGGTCTGTTCTTGTTTTACCTATAATGGGGCCCCGGAACCCACAGAGGAATGTTCAATCGATAGCAAAGGACTTTTGTGTGTTTTTCTTGTTGAATGAGTTGCACATTTATTCTTCTCCCAGGGAGTGAACCTGATGTCAGAACAGCAGAAAGCAGTGATACAGTTCCAGAAGGGAGAACAGGCTGCCAAATGTGTTGCTAAGTGCAATCAGTAAGTTTTTGAATCCCATGGTGTTAGTTAACTTTTGAAAAGATTAAAATAAAATCCTTTAAAAGGGAATAATTAAAAATTTTTTTTCTCTTTAACCAATCAGTATAACTCAGTATCGGTGTAATTCTTACCACATTACCCACCTACTGTAAAAATATTGGTGCTTTTCCCATATTCTTGATGGGCCTAAGGCGTAAAAAGGGATCTTTATTTTTACTTTATAACTCAGTATAAGTTAGTAATGTAGTCACTTCCAGCTAGGGTGTACGGTGTAAAAGTAATCCATGGACAATTTTAACGATGTCTTTTTGTTTGTTGCTACTCTCAGATTTTTTAAAGTCGATAATGGATAAGAGAAACTGATGCTTATATGAGTGATGGTTCATTGAAGTTTTACTGTATGCAAATGTAGTGGTTCTGATCATATGAAGTTGTACATAGAAACTGATTCACTTTGTAGTATCTTCCAGAAACTCTACTTACCCCCAGTGGATTAGTAATTTAATATATGGATTCCCTCTGTTCTAGTGCACTGTCCATTTGACTTCAGAGAGCCTTTACATCATCCGCTTGATTATAAAACTTGATTACATTTACAACAACAAAAATGGTTATTTTCAAAGAACAACAATGCTTTGCAATCAGAGAAGGGATTTGGATACAGCCACAGTAGATATTGGTTGTTTCCCTCTTCTTATGATATGCTGAACTACACTTGGTGATGCAGCTGAGCACAAATTGGTGAAGGCATATCTGCACCTGTCCACAGTCAACTCAGAAACTGGTTCCTCACCAGAAGCCTGGACAGTGTGGTTAGGATTGTTGTTGCCCTCAAAGTCAGAGCATATATATGCCTGAGCATATAATACACTATCGCCTGGAAAGATGGGAAGATGCCAATCAATCAGTCATGCCTGAGCATCAAGGAACCAGCAGCCTGCACACAGTAAACCAGATTTGTAAAATGGATGGGCACACAGCATTTAAATTCTAGAAGAAGTCTATAGTTAAGAAGTATATGAACAAGAAGAACTAGGAATTTCCACCAGAGTTTATAGTTGCTGAACATGAAGAAGAAAGATTTTTTTTTCTTTTCTCTCCTCTGCCGAAAACAGAAATGTTGAATGTGTTGTGGCCATTTACAGAGAAGCTGAGCTGTTTGCTTCTTTCTGTCAGCACTTGAATTCAGCATTGAATTGTCCCTACCAGCTTTGCCTTGATTTGTGGTATTTGTTCTCTTGACAAGGCTGCAGTGATGCAGTCTGTTTCCAGGACCTCTACTCTGGGTGAAGTCTGGTCTTGGTCAGCGCTGTTTTGTTGACACAGTCAAGCTATGAGTAGTTGACCATATTCAATTCTTTTGCTACATCCTTGACCTACATATGTATTTGTTAAATGTATTTTTCTTAGATGCTTGATGCCCCCATGTGGGTTCTAGGGCCATATTTGAGGGATGGAAAGAACCCCACCCCCCCCCCCCCCCCCAAATGCATGTCGTAAAAGCTGACTAATTAGTGACGTTTCCTTTGAAGTCGGTGTTCATCTGCTAGAGAGGTGAGGAACCAACAGTCTGCATTTAAATAAGCCACATCTGTAAGATGGATATGCATGCAAGATTCAAATTCTGAAACGAGTAAAGTCCAGAAGTGGACAAACAACCAGATCTTTCCACCAGAGTTTACATCTAATGGGCGCAAAGAAGAAGAAGAGCATGCACGGCAGTGATTATGTGAGTCATAGCAAAAGCTCAAGTCAACTTGAACCTGGCCTGCTGCTATCATTTTGGCACAGAGTTGAAATCACACTTCATACAGGTGTAAAGAAGACACTTACAAACTTGATTACTTGCAAAGCTGTTGTGCTCTAAATGACCACATGTTAAACTCTTGTCTTCTCTCCTTTTTAATTGTTTTATTTGTAGGTTGTATGTTGAATTATTTGATCTCATAATATGAGAATCAACACTGAAAAGACAGAAGTAATGTCAATAGGAAAAAAAAGACAGATCTAAACATAGCAATAGAATACAAAGGCATTAAACAGGCATCTGAGTTTAAATATCTGGGAACTACATTTACTGAAGATGGTAAATGGGATAAAGAAATTGACATTAGATGCAGTAAAGCAAACCAAGTATTGGGACAGCTAGCCCCCCTCTTACAACATAAGACAATCCCAATCAGCACAAAACATATTTATTCCAACTATGTGCTACCAGTGCCAGACATGGTCACTCACAACAAACCATAAAAGAAAATTAGTAACCACGGAAATGAGATGTCTGAGAAGGGCTTAGGAGTGACAATAAGAGATAAGATCAGGAATGAGACCATAAGAGAACAAGTCGGCACAGAATCAATTCTGGATTACATACAAAGACAGCAAATGAAATGGTTTGCCCACTTAGAGAGAATGCCTTGTGACACCATACCATACAAAGCATACATGGAAAGAGAAGAAGGACGTAGAGCATGGGGTAGACCAAGAACAAGATGGAAGGATAACATCAGAGAAACTCTACAACAGCACGATGTGCCTATGGTCGAGGCAGCCAGAAGAGCTAGAAACAGAACCTTATATCTCCCTCGACACCCACAGCGGTAAAAGAGGAAGTGAAGAAGAAGAAGTATGTTGATGGCTGCTATTCCTAAATTCAGGGTGTCACATGACAATTGTTCAGTAAAATATTTAATAAGCAGCTCGAAAGAAAACAATGGCAAAGAGATTACTAAGATGTATTCTAGTTTTGCCTTCAATATTGTAAAATTAGAAAATAAAACAATATAGACATTTGAAAACTAGTCTTCATACTTTTGCCTCGTTTCGAGCAGGTATTGGATTGATAAAAGTCCTTACTGATATTTAATATTGTGTTGGAACTTTCTTCTTCTTCTTCTTCTTTTTCTTCTTCTTCTGCATTCATCTAAAGACATAAATGCGCTGGGTCTGTTGACAACATGGCTGCACTATTTGATGCCTGGGTGAGCCTACCTGGTTAGTATCATGGGACATTGCAGTCTCATTGCTGTGTGGTTCTCTTTGTTTCCTAGATCACAAGTCTTGCCAGCCATTGAGTTTTTGTTTGAAGCTGATGTTGCTCATATTATTTTGTTGTTGCCCAGCTATTCAAGCTTTCTTTATACATCTTCCTTTGCTTTCTTCTGGCTCTTGCCTAATTTGTCCCACATTAGGCCATTTTCTTTATTATGTATCTCTGAATGTTCTATACATTTTGCTGTATGTTAAATCAATTTTGCTGTTTTCTTTTGGTGTTGAGTGATCTTGTGGCACCTTCAGATCTCTGTACCTCAGGTTTTTTCCACTTCTCTGTTTTAGAATTTTTTTTTTTTTTTTTCAAATAATGTGTCCAATTCCTGCACAAGTTTATTACTTATTAGTCAACATTTGCAACCATTCTGGATCAGAAATATATTCTGGATTTTCTGTCCAGGAAATTTGCTTGTGTATGGTAACTGAGGCTGACTTCCATGAATGTGGATACAAGACGTTGAAGATGTATTGGGTGTAAAAGCACATAGGGCTGGAGAATTGACTATAGATAGACATGCTGGAGACATGCTGTGAAGAGAGCAACATTCTGCAAAGGACCTGCTGTTTAATGTGGGGTAATGAGCAGGCAGATAGATTGGCTGCTGTTGTTTCTCTGGGCAGTGAGCTACTTTATGATAAAGCGGATGTGGTGAAGGCTCTCTGGAGTCGGATAGACAGTGCACTAAGAGAATCTATATACTGAAGGACTAACTCATCAGGGGGTAAGTAGAGTTTCTGGAAGATATTCACAACTGAGGGGCAATGTAGGCAGACTTTTAATCAGGCTGCAACTGGTGCTGTTAGCATGTCGACTCTTAGTTGGCTAGGAAGGAGGGAGATGGAGCATGTGTGGGAATTTCCTGAATGCAGTGATTGTGGATTCTTGCTTCATTCATTTAATAAATTTGTGTGTATTTGAGGTGTTACTGTCATTCAGGACATAGAATACTAGCTAGACATCTGTCATCAGTTTGCACAGTTTAGTGAAAGTGTATTTTGTGGATGGTCAGTGGTTTCCTTTTTTTTTTTAGGCGATGCCTGCATAAAACAAGACTTACAGTAAAGCTGTTGCCAGGTTGAGCTCACATCACATGGGACAGGTAGACAGGTTTCAGGGCCTGCTTTTATCTCTTGAAAGATGATATACACATGTTTTGTTCTCCAAGCTTGAAATTCATGCACCAAAACTTTTTGAGTCACTTATGTTTAAAACATTTTAAAACAGCAAGAGTTCATTAGGACTAAGCATAAGGTTCATTTTTGTTTCTTGTCTGTTTTGTTTTAAACCTCAGGTTTAAAAAAAAAAATCCTGATTGTTTTGGTTCAGTAAACAGTTTAGCACATTGAACAATCGGTGGTAGTAGCAGTATGAATTGGTAATTGTTTGGTTGCTTTGTTCTAGTTACTTTCTGTATTGCTTACAGTAGTAAAACTGGGATCAACTGTAATGCAGAATAATTCTTGTTCACATGTTGATAGAATATTTTGGAGGCATTGTGTTGGACAAAGCTTTGAGCACTTGGAGGGTTATGTAATATTTTTCCTAGACAAATCTTGTTATCCTCCTTTTTTTTTCTTTTTCTTTTGGTGTTTATCTCCCCAGTAGAATATTGGCTGTCAACAAACATTCCAGTCCTTTGCTGTCACTGTGTGTGCTTTGAATTAAGAATCATCATCATGGCACTCAAGACACTCCTATAAGTGCTCTGTCCCCATTTTCAACAGCAAGCAAAGAGTACCAGTTCCAGTGGTACCAGTAACGCTGATTGTACATCCATCTTGCCTTTGCCTTGAGTGTTGAGCATCAACCAGATCCCCTGGTAACTCCCCACAACGCTATTCTCCTTAGACTGTAATGGTCTATTTGTGCCTCCTCGCTCCCAAAGGGCCCCGACAACATCTGGCTTGTCATACACCTCCATGTGTCCCTTAAAATGTTAACTTCTTCTATTCTTGATTTTCTTCTCTGTATTTATGGTCTCAGTTATGGTAACTGGCATTCTGAACAGGTCCTTTATCCAGCATCATGTTTCCTATTGATTCACCAGAATGTGTTTGGTTCTTTACAGAAGCTCCACATTGATAATATCATTATTGGCCTGCTGTAGAAAAGTTCAATCTTGGGTATCATTGTTTGGGAAGCTGGGTCGATCCTGGCTGTTGGGATCCAACCCAAGGACACTTTTGGTATCTGAGTACACAAACCACTGTAATACAGGAATATAGTATGGGATAGGCCTCTGCTGCCTGATATATGGACAGTCTGTGGTAACTGTTTACTCAGATAAAGACCGAAATGCATGGCGTGCACCTTTACACAGAGGCGCGACTACATGTGAAACAAGCAGAACAGCAAGACTGATTAAGAAAAGGATTGACAGAAAGACGACTGCAGGAGATCCCCTCCCTGGCACAACACTCATTCCCTGTCCTCACTGTCCAAGAACTTTTCGGACCTGCACAGGCCTCACCAGCCATCTTTGTACTCATGCTTATGAAAAAAGTGGCCATCGTCATCCTGATGGAAAAAACACACACACACTCAGATAAAACTGCAATTACTGCCCGTTTTTAACCGCTTTGGGGGGGGGGGGGGTTTGAATCTGAGGATTTAGGGCTCCAGGGCTAATGCTGTCGCCACGGACTGTGCAGGCTAGGGTTTGTTTTAACTCCTAAAAGAAAAATATACAGCCTTACAGAGGATTTTAACCTGGGTATCTCGTATAAGAGCATTGAGCTAGCCGCACCTCTACTCAGATGTAAAGTAAAGGAGCTGTTTCCATGTAAATGCAAAGGTCAAGTCCTGGAATAGATAAACAATCAGGACTTTTTGAGTTTACAAGAGAGAAGTTTACAACCAGCGAATGCAAAGAACAACCATCCCAACAAACAACTGATAGCACAGTACTCCTGAACTGAGCTAGTGTTGTTGCTAGTTCATTAGCACACCAACACAATTTAGGCTTTTGGATTCAGTTCCTGACATTTTATCCTTGCCAGTGCAGCTCTGGCATTGTCCCAGACTCATACAGTTGGTAGCAGATACATTTAGGAATTTTCTGGGAAGGAGAAGCAGTTATTTGCTGTAAATATGCTTAATATATGGAAAGGCTTAACACTTGGCAGTACTAACCAAGGAAGTCAGTGTTACTTTGTTGCCAGTGTAAAAATGTACCCTAAGGACTCGATTCAGGTTAGAAGTTGTTTTGTACCATCAGTGTGTTGAGTTAGGAACCGAAATGACAGCACTAAGAAGCATCACCAGAAGTGCTCCATCTTCAGCAGCCAGCTCAGAGTTCCAAGTCCATTAATGCCATTTGTATAAGGGTTCAGTGATCATGAACTAGAAAATTACCTATATTTTGTATGCATGTGTTCTGTTGAAGTTTGGTGGAGATTACTTACCCATTTGTTTAAATGACACAACCTTATTGTGTAGCTGTTGAATGACCACTATCTTTTACGTAAAACTCTGTTTTTAACATAGTATATAGGCAGACATGGCTGGCTGTTGTACTTTTTTTTTGGGGTTCCTCTTCTGCTCATAGAGACAAGTATAACCTTGAGGTAATGTATGTTATAATTTGGCATAAACACACCAGACTTATTTTCTGGGTCATCACCAAAGTGGAGCCTCACCAGGCGATAAAATCCACGTGTCCTTGAGAGAAGTCCTGTGTTCTGCTGCTGTTTGTGTCAGGGTAGATGCACGTTAATGCATAAGGATTTAATTAGGTCACTGTTTCTTTATGTCTGCAATAAAACTGTATTGAGCATGTATTTTTCATATTGAAGTTGCTGGTTCAGTCTGCAGCTTTCTGTAAAAAAATTTTTTTTTAATGACATATAATGTGCAGGGTAGATCTCTTTGCTTGTTTTGAATCTGCCTTTCCTAATTTGGCTCACAGTTGCAACAATTAGGAAATTAAAAAAAAAAAAAAAAAAAGAAACATTTAAAAGCTTGAAGTCATTAAAAACATATGACATTCTATAACTATGTGTAATGGTATGATGAAAATTCTTATATATTTTTTTTTATTCAGTCCACTAGTGCAGGTTAGAATAGTTGTTTTTTTGCTGACTGTGAGAAGGAAATTGTAGATAACACACTGCTGTTTATGTTATGATGCCTGATCTTTTCGTAGATAAACTGATCACATTAGAAATTCCTGTCAGTATCTAGCATCTTGTCTTTGCACGTGATGATTGCAGGATTGTTTAATAGAAGCCGATCATGTTACAAGAGCACACAAGCACTTTTGAAAATAAAAACTGTTGAGAATAGATAAGTCATGCGAATATTCATTTAGTATATAAGTCTAATTTCACTAGTCTTTAAAAGCATTGTCTATTTAATGTTTTTTTTAAAAATGTCAGTTCTTCCAATGAATTCACTTTGTGTGAATTACTGCAATAATCACATTCTTATAGACAAAAAAAAAGTATTTTAGCTTTTGTATTAGCAAATTGTTTTTATCTATTACGTGATAACAGAATTGTACTGTAATACCTAGTGTGGGATATTTTAAAGTATATGACAGATTTTATTTTCTTTGATACAGTGAAGGCTAGGAAACTATCTAGTAAATAGTTAACAGTTGTCGTAATTGTACATGTCCACAAAATGTATTTCATTGTTGATCAGCAAATTTCATGTCCATATGAACTGATTCCAGCATCTGTGCAGTAAAGTGTGTTATTTCTCGACCAGCTTCTGGAAAATGATACCAGATGGCGCTGTTGTTCTTTTTATTCATCTGTGTTAACCTTTAAAAGTCACTTGGCATGGTTGTGGCTGGCAGCTGGGCTGCGATGTGTGCGCCTTTCGACCCATCAATGCATATTCCATTTTAGAAAACCATGAATTAGTTGCCTATTTATGACGTGATAAGAGGCAGTGGGTTGTTTCCCCCCTCCCCACCCAAATATTTTTTCTCACTCAGGGGTCTCCAGAACACACACATACAGAGCGTGATAATTGGCAGTGGCTTGTAATAGAAAGAACTGTTACAACAATCATGTATGCTTATAAATACTTGACTCTAGGCTGTTGATTTCTTGACCCCAGACTGTTACGGCTGTCATGAACTTCAATAGTTAACATAAATTCTATTCTTGTCTATTATGTGAATGCAGTTGACACACTGGTGGTTCTCTCTGTGCAAGATTTTAGTGACTATATTGACAGCATTAGCAATTTGTTGCTAAAAATTAACATCTCACTATCCACTGTAATAGATGTTTTTACATTTTAAAATGTTGATAAGGCAGATCATGAACTTGGGATCTGGAACAGAAGAGTGCGTTTCAGAAAATTACATGTTCTCTTATTGAATATATTATTCAATAGACAAGTTTAAAAAAATTAATGTATGTTTATTGTGTATGTTTTTACCTAATTTCTTGTCTTGGTTAGTTTTGTTTTATCATGTTTTCATTTTGTGAGTTTTGTGTGTGTTTCTTTCTGTGAGTCACGTTTTCTGTGTTGCCGTGATTGGGAGCAGCATTGGAACTAGAGCTACTTTATTTTATTTGGAAATGTATCTTGATTCATGTGTATGAAATGCGACATTATGTTTAACACTGGGACTAGTGCTCTGTGTCTGTTAATTGTTGCTGACATTTATATTAAAATGTTCATATGATTTCATTTTCCGGATAATTTGTGGTAATATTAAATAATGCAGAAAGGTATGATGTGATTAGTATTATATTGTTATTCAGTAAGATTGAATGGCTAAAGCCAGAAAATAATGTGGTGTGTCATTTATTGTTTTATTACAGTAATGAACAGTATTGATGTTCCTGCTTCTGTCCCTAAAGGTGATGACCTTTTAAACATGTAGCTTTCCTCCCTTAATATGTACTTTTCTTGCAAGCTTCCATACTCTTTAAATTATAACAATATTTACATAGTAGGCAATTTGATCTGCTGGGGGAAAAAAAATTGCTGATTAAGACAAGCTTATTACTATAAAGGCTGTGGAATGCTCCCTCCTTTTCCACCCCTCTCCCAGCTCCCATTCTTTTTTTGAAGTAAAATAATCTTTATGTATAAAACAATTTCACCTGGTGGTTTG